ATTATTAAGACTCATCTTGGACATCCCAGGTCCTCCAATTCAGGTTGTTGATACTCAAACAGCAGGTTCACAATTTAAACACGGATGGGGGGGGGGGAATTCAGCATGCATGATAGAATACACTAAGGGGACAACGTGGGGACAGCAGAAGTAGAGGTGATGATGGAGGTAACGGGCGGGGTTGGCAGCAGCGGGGGAAGCATTAGCTGCACGGGCAGTGTGGGTAGCCTTGAGCTGCTCAAACGCACTAGGATCTTGGCGGCAACATCGGCTGCGGCTGTGGGTGGTGTGCGAATACCGAGAACGATCCTTGCATTGTTTAATATCCTATCACCCTTGCTCATGAAACTATTGATAGGGAGAGCTGGAAAACCGGCGTATCAAACACTTCTATGCTCGCACAAATAAAATCGCGCCGTTCGCCAGATGACGCTGCTAGAACGGCGGGAGACCGTGTTTAAGAAAATCGCAACTCGGACAAAGGCGAAAGCACGACAGCAGCTCATAAAAATGACGCCAACTCCGGATCCCCAGGGTCATAAGCGTAAGCTTGCCGCGAAGACGCCAGAGCAACATTACCACATCGGTTAAAACCTTAATGCAGGGGATCCCGGTTCGATTCTGGATCGGGCCGTTCTGTCCGTTCCTCCTCCTTTTTTCACATATTTGCTTAAACGAACACAGATATCTCGTCACAACCTATTCGTGGTGTATGCATACGCGGGAAGGCGGCCTCCACCGCCGCCCGGTGGGGCTCTTGAGACGCAAATGGGCCGTTCCCATTCATTTGTACGCAGCCTACCCGTGACCCGTCATGTCGTGCGAAATCTTTCTTCGGCCGAGCACGCAAAATCTCCCACCTCCTCAACAACTGAAGGCAGACAAGAAGGTTTGGCAGCGCGTGGCGCGCATCTGCATCATATTATCAAAGTATTGAGTACAGCAGCAGACAACCCCGTTCGACTCGGGGCTAGGCCATTCACCAGAAGAACTCTTTCCTCACGTCAATTTTTTGCTCTGGATATGAACCCTGATTTACCAGCATAGTCCTCACCTCTGGGAGCTCAACCGGCCCTTTGGGCAGAATATCGATCAACTGTCTCCGCTGTGTTTAATCTGATCAAGACGCAGAGGGTGTAGAAAGGCTTGACAGCAGACACCCCCGCTCGACTCGGGTCAGGCCATGAAATATATGCAATTATTATCTCTCCAGCGCTCGCGATACTTAACTCGACCGTTCCAAATTTTACCGGCCCCTCGCCATAGCGGAAATTCATTTCGAGAGCACAACATTTAGACCCTCGAGCATCGCAAAATATCACACCTACCCGAGAACTAAATGCTAGCAGGAAGGCTTGGTAGCGTGCGGTGCGCATCTGTATCATATTATCAATGTATCGATTACAGCAGACACCCCCGTTCGACTCGGGGCCAGGCCATATCCCGCAAGAAGTGTTCTTTTTGGGTCTCTCTTCGCTCACGCCAATTTCTTGCTCTGAAAAGGAATCGCGATCTCACAGTAGATACAGATAATTCTTACGTCTAGGAACTCAACCTCCTCTTGTCAGAATATCGATTACCAGGTCATATTTATTTCCGCTGTACCAGACGTGATCAAGACAGGAGGGTATAGAAAGGCTCGGTAGTGCGCGGTGCGCATCTATACCAGATTCATCTCCACCAGAACCATTGTACAGCAGAGACCCCGTCCGACTCGGGGCCAGGCCATTCGGGGTTAAAACAGTTCTTTTTCGTCCAATGCCGCCGTTCTCATTCAACTTGAGCGAACTATCTCTCGTTCAAGTGCCGCGAAATCTCCGACCCACCCAAGAACCGAAGGCAGACAAGGAAGCTTGGTAGCGCGCGGCGCGCATCTGTATCACATTATTGAGCCTTATTGTGGCCAGCAGACAGCCCCCGTTCGACTTGGGGCCAGGCCATATGTCAGAAGACGTGCTTTTTTGTTTTAGCTCTTTGTTCCCTCACGTCAATTGGTTGCTCTGGAAATGAATCATGATTTCACGGTACATACATATAATCCTCACGTCTGGGAACTCGACCGTCTCTTTAGGCAGAATGTCGATCACCAGGTCGTCTTTCTTTTGTGCTTGGGTTGGATGAAGTTACAAGGGGGTGTGGAAAGGCTTGGTAGCACGCGGCGCGCATCTGTATAATATTAAGCACAGCATTGGGTGCAGCAGACACCCTCGTTCGACTCGGGGCCAGGCCATTTATCAGACGAGGTTGTTTTTTTGACTCTCTCTCTTCCCTCACGTCAATTTGTTCAAATCATCTCTCGCTATCGCAGAACCCGAAATTTATTTCGAGAACGATATATTGCGAGCACCTCAAAGTCTCCCACCCACCAAGGACTGAATACCAGGAGGAAGGCTTGGCAGCGCGCGGTGCGCATCTGCATCGCATTTTCTAGAATTGACTTGTATATAGCAGACACCCCCGTTCGACTCGGGCCAGGCCACTGCTGGAGAACATGTTTTCTTTTTTGCTCTTTCTTCCCTCACGTCAATTTCTTGCTCTGGAAATAAACGCGATCTCACAGTACACACCGTCCCAAAGCCAATACGTTCGAATCGAATCCGTCCGTGGTCCACTCCATTAAATCCCTTTGGACTCATTTGTTTTTTGGGGGGGCCTTACCTCGCTGGTGAGATAACAGAGGAGGAACGGCTTGATAGCACAATGCTTCGTGCACCTGCTTCGCTCCATGCAGGAGATCCCTGTTCAACTCGGGGTCAGGCCATAGTATTGCTTTGCAATCTCTTTTTGCATTGGGTCCAATTATTTGAGTGCTTACTGCGCAAGTGAGCTCGAGATCGCAGTGCACGGCCTGATAGGACAACGATCTTCGCGGGAATAGCACGAAAGAGACATTCGTTCGACGCAATCCCTTTATTGGGTTTTGTTCGCTGCTTTCTTCTATTTCTTGAAGGGTTCACTTCACTCTTGAAATAAAAGTGTAGGAACGGTCTGATAGCACAATGCTTCGTGCACCTGCGTCATCTCAGGCTTTAATATGTAGAGTCCATACGGGGGATCCCCGTTCGAATTGGTCGGGCAATGGTTCTTCTTGCAGTCCTCTTTTTACATCATATTTTATTTTCAGTCAAGGAGCTTACTTCACTTGAGAAAGTAGTGTAGGAACGACCTGATAGCACAACGGTTAGTGCGCCTGCGTTACAGCCCTTTGCAGTACCGAAGGCGCGAACAGAAATTTACCGTTTTGGGCAGATTTTGATCCTCGCGACAGAATTGCCCATAACTCTCTGAGTTCTGCACGGATCGAGCTGAAACCTCGCTAGATAATTCGCACTAATTCATACGCAATTAGTGATACAGAGGGAATTTCAAAAATATTATATTTTGTGTCTTCTAGCAGTTGAGGCTCGCGTCGGCGTAAATTGATGCTAGTTGGTTCAGTTGTTGTCCGAACGAGCTGATTTATTAATAGTAGGTATTTCGACATGTAAGAAGTAATGTGATAGAGTCAAAAGTATGGATAATTCCCACCTGCCTTGTTCCTGCCCCATTCGACAGCGTTCTGTACTGCTTAGAGAGACTTCATTGTAATTACCCAATTTTTGAAGAGGATAGAGTGGTTCCAGTGTCACATGTCACCTGTGAATATTTACCTCTCGTCCAGTCCCCGAAAACGCGTGTTATACCGAGGTAAGTGGGTCTCGTCGCGTCTATTTACAGTCACCATCAAGTCATGACTTCCCGTGATTTCATTAGTCCCAACTCGTCACTCAATGCGCGTCTTTCTCTACCACGACGACAGCACCACTGCCACTCAAAAATGTCTCCAACCACCACAGATCCACTTCAAGTCCTGGTTTCGCTCTCTTTAACTCCTCTCTGTGGCTGATTCAAGTTCTGATTCTGTAGGTTGGGATTGCCAGTGATTTTACTGAAGAATCTGGGCCTGCTGACGCCCAGATAAACTTCTTGTGGCACGAAAAATCACCTATGTCGGAAAAAAGCCAAATGACTTGCAACGGCCTGAGTCAGCTTGTGACCTTGAGACAGCTTGAGAGTGATTGCAACCCACGCAGCCACGCCTTCGAGGCGCTCTCAAGCCGCTGCAAGGCATACAGGACTCGCAAGGACTCTCAAGCCGTGGGAAGGCACACCTGTTTTTAGATGATTTGGGGGAGATTTTATTTTCCCGCTAGTTAGTACCCAGAATTAGAGGGGGAGATATAGTCAACATTATTGTACACACCGACCCATGTCCTCGTCTTCGGTTGAGTCTCACCGGGGTTATTTCCAGGTTGCCGAGAGGTGTGGAGCTGGGTGGAGCGTCGACCCGGTGGCTCGAGCAAGGTGCATAACTCTGTTCATGCCCTTCAAAATTTTACCTACACACACATGCACGGTCAAACAGTACTTACTCGAAGACTTCTACAACAATAGTATTAATTAATGACCTACGTAATACGTAATTTACTGAATTGCTACCTTACTTACTGCCTTAAATGTGTTATGTAAATGTGTAAATGTGTAATCTCCACCCAAGAGAGACGGATAGAACAAGAGGCACAATTTTTGTTATTTCTGGCATTAGACCCCGGTGCCTTGAGAGAGCTTGGGAGTCACGGCGTGTCTTGGAAGAGCTTGCAGATTTCTTACCTCTGTGCTGCAAGCCACTTAAAACCATATGACCTTGCGGCGTCTTGGGATGCGTTTCAAGCTGATCAAGATTTTTCCGACATACCATGTCCCTGCCTCCAAAACGCCCCAAAATCAGAGTTGTTCCTAGTCCTGTGGTTACCACCCCCTGACAGTAGGTGATCGACCTTATTATATAAGCATTCATTTTGGGAAATCACGTGGGCCTTCCTTTCGACGCGACTAGGCGTGCCGGACGCGACGAAACTCCATCAACCCAGATTATGTGGGGCAGAACAACGTGAAACATCAGAAATAATTATATAACTCGGGTGGAGTAGTACTCCGTTCGTGGCTCGAGATCGCAGTACGGTCTGGTAGCACGACGGTTAGTGCGCCTGCGTGCTGTACAAATTTGGTAGTCGACTGCGGCAGAAGGTCCCCGTTCGACTCGGGGTCGGGCCATGGCCGTTTTACGAATTTCTTTTTGCACTTTCGCAGTTTTTCTTTGGCTTGAATCGGATCTACCGCCGCCATTCTAATTTCTCAATCATTTGTACTTTTTACAGCCTCGTTCGCACCGAGACACCCCAATTACTGTTTTCGTGCGGTGCATTCGTTTTCTTCGTCGGTACTGTACTTGATTGACGAAGTAGCGATGTGGGGAACGGTCTGATAGCACAATTGTTAGTGCGCCTGCGCTACTTCGAGTTTGACTTAAAGACGTTCTGCAGGAGATCCCGTTCGACTTGGGGTCAAACCATAATTGTTCTGCAATCTCTTTTTACATTGGATTCAATTATCTGCGCAGAGATTGCTCCATTCGTGAGCTTGAAGTCACAGTGCACGGCCTGATAGCACAACGGTTAGTGCGCCTGCGTACTGTGTTCATGTATAATTTACTGAATCAGGAGATCCCCGTTCGACTCGGGTCAGGCCATCACATATAATTTGTTTTATTCATTTTGCGGTTCTCTTTGTTTTCGGGAACTCGGGTGGTTGCGGGAGAGGGAAGGCAGGATTCTTTGTGCCTGCTGAGATGTACTCCGGGAGTAAGTAGATCTACCGTCGTCGAGAACCTTGCAATTGCTGATAATATTCACGCGCCTCAGACTGTAATAACGCATCGAGCAGCGAGCTGATCGGTGACTCTAGCTGTCACCGTCCCTGCCGGAGGATACTGGCTAAATACCGTCCCGAATTTTATTATGTCCCCCATTGCACTGCACTTCTTTGAAGTTCGAACCAGGCTCGAAAGTTCAACCTCGAACAACACCGTGTTACACACAGTGTAAAATCCCCGCATAAGGACTCTTACTCTTGGAAAGTTCGCAATCGATCGATTTGTCCATTCCTGAGCTCCATCGCGCAGTGCCAGCAATGCCTTGCGCAGGAACGCTGTCGAGGATGCGTCTTCGTGTGGCACAGCCCCCATCAATCGGAGTCGGCAGTGGACGCCATTGCTTCCGGCTTATATCCCCACCAGTTCTCGCCTCCTTCCTTGTTCCACCTTCGCCTCCTCCTCGAACGAACGAATGAAATTACATGTCCTACGGTGTACGCTCCCTCCTTTCCCCTCACAAAAGCCGCGCAGCCCCGCTGACGTGTCTCGGCAGCACCAGCAATGGCAGCAATACGGCGCCCTCCCAGGCGCGCTCGGCGGCGGGTACGGCGCGCCCCCCCGCAGCAGCACGGCTACGGCCCCCCCGGTGTGTCCCCTCCCCTCGCTCCCCCCTTCCCGATCGCCCCCGATCTGACGAGCGATTGCGATTACTAGGCGGCGGGGTACGGCGCGCCCCCGTACGACGGCGGCGGCGGGCACCCCGGCGGCTTCGCGCCGCAGCGCGCACACGGACCGGCCCCGGATGCGGATCCCCAGTGCGCATTCATTTAATTTCATTCTCCCGCTTTGGATAAGGATGGAGGGGGCATAGCGCATCGAGCCCTTCCACTGCAGGGTGCCTATGCCTATACTTCGCTCCCCGTCATCGCGCCGCGCGCTGACACTGCACACAGACTTCATCAAGCTCCGCCCCGAGCACAGCGTCCGCGACAACGCGCTCGGCTTCATGAGCAACGACAGCGGGGAAAAGTATAACCGATGCCATTGTTCCTGCGTCCTTTTCTCAACTTTCTGCGTCCTACGTTACTTGCTCTATGTCCCCGCCCGCTCCGCGTGCGTACAGATACGCATCCGACGCAACCTGCGCGTGGCTGGGGGTGTGCATGTGCAGCCGCCCTCGCAACCCGACCGCTCGTCGAAGGTGCGCACTTCTCCCTCCGCCGGCGCTGCACTGCACAGACATGCGCATGTGTCGCCGCTGCGCGTACATGTCCGTATCGGTCCGCGCACCGCCGAGCTCACCGAGCTCGACGCGCGTACGTCGCACAGGAGCGGGTGCCCGTCCTCTTCCCCCCACACCCCGACGCCGGCGCTGCACAGACATGCCTCGCGTCCGCGCGTTCATGTCCGACGCGGTCCGAGTCGGGCGCTCGCGTGCGTTTGCCCGCCCGTAGTACCGCTGCACTTGTACGTACGCACCTGCAATATATCCGTTTGCCGCCGCCGCCGTGCCCGAGCCCAAGTCCGAGATCCGAGTGACATGGAGGTCTGCGTACATCGGTCAACTGCGAGATGAGCTTTACCGAGAACTCTCCCGTCGAGATTGCGACAGCGCGAGTAGCGTCTAAAATGCAGGAGTCCGAGCCTCTATTGGTATCCGGGTGAGCGAAGACATTAGACGTGTTATTAACGTACCGACCAATGCCAATGTCAGTGAACCCGAGTCGGGGACGGCTGTCAAATCCGAGGAGTGGTGGAAATTTAAAAAGACGCTGGGGCTGTAGTTGCGGGATATCAGAACGAATTGAGTCGGCTGAGACACGGATTGCTTACCTTGAATTGCCGGGGGGAGTATGCTACACCGCGAGATCCCGCTGTCAGCGGCAAGTCAGCGCGCAGAGGCGTGGTTTGAGGCGCGGAGCAATGGCACTGCGCTACGCAGGCGTCGTTCGGGGTCAAAGTACGAGCCCCTATAGCAAAATCCGGTCCGTGAGCTGAAGGAACTTGAATCGGGGCACGGTCCGATAGTTGAAGGTCGCTATAGCAATGTACAGGAACCTGCGGAAACTGGCAAGCGCGCTGGAAGTATATTATTGTGGAAAAACCCGAGGTAATAATTAAAGGTCGGCCGGTCATTAGATTCGAACGGACTGAAGCATTGGCGCGCACACAAACGGCTGCTGAACTTGATCCAACGCGCAAACAATTGGACGACGCGGGGTGGTATAAGTTGGCGAAGGTCGAGGGAGGAACAGAGGGAACAGCATCGGATGGACACGAATAAGCTGCAAGCAATGAATGCGAGGACTTGTTAAATAAACCCAGAGGTCAGAACTGCGTTCGAAACTGAGAAATAATTGCTTGGTAAAGTCTGGGACAATGGGATTCACGGTGATGCTTGATTTCATTTGCGAGAGCAGTTTATGAGCCCTTGACCTGGCCCGCACTAGAGTGTCGAGAGCTGCGAGGATTGGTCAGAAATATACGCAAAGAACAGAGGTACAATGCAACGCACTTTATAATCCCCACCATGCTACTGCCAGTGAGGCGCGTAGCACTGGTAAACTGGGTGAGGTTGAAGTAAAACTGCGAACACATATCAGAACAATGTCACTGTTTGAAATATAAGATTGCTTACCTCGAGCTCGGTGAATCGAAATGAAATTCAACGGGCAGGGCTCAAGTAAACCTTGATTATGATGGCGCGAGTATTACACCAGGCCCAGCAAGATAAATCGTGGTCCACTGGTCAAATGACTCCCTTGATGTAAACCTGCGGCTCGATCGGCTCAAGCGACACGAATCGGTTCGAGTCCCGTCGCGAAGCACGTCTTCTCAAGTCCTGCCAGGTATTAATTTCTAAACAATGAGGCGACGGTGAGTCTATCGGGCTCTAGAAGCCTCAAACTACCTGTTGATTCAGAGTATTGGCTCAGACTCGAACCGTGTACCCAGAGAACTGGTGCGAGCGATGCTGAGCAGGTGACTGAGACCGGGGGAAGATAATCCTGCGTGTCTCAGGATAATCTTGGTGTTGATAATCCTGAGGTGCCGGAAATAATCACGGATGATCAGTGGAGCGCATAAAGCACTCTGATACATGAATAATCCCAGGATTAATGGTAAGTTCAATCCTACCTGCTACTAGCCGCATGATAACCTGGTGTTGATACTCCCGAGGTGTCGAAAATAATGCCGGATGGTCGAAGGACCTGCGAAGGGCCCGCTCTCATACTTGAATAATCCCAGGACTAATGGTAAGATTAATCTTATTGGCTATTGACAACACAATGAACTGTGGCTAATAGCAGCTAGGATTAATCCCTTTTCGGTTGGACTTAGCAACAAGGATTAATCCTCATCAGTGTGAACATTGAACTATGCCGCTTGAGATTCAACATCTTGACTTTCGATAGATAGCATGTACCATTCCAAAGCCGATCCGGGAAGATACATGGATTTACAAGGACGATCAATATATTCCTGGACCATCCTGAACATCCTGAGAGAATTCAGAATGATTCATTGTATGTAAAGTAGCTGAGACATATGTGAGCACTTTGAATCTGAATGTTGATCCATTAGGGGAAGTTTTTGAGTTTCAAGAGTTCATCGCGCTTCTGAGACAGGGAAAATTTGTGTCAGACATGGGGACACATGGTATTGGCAGTCCGACTTACCTCCTGTTGCGCAAGGGTGAAAAAGCCGTTGTCAGCAGTGTGTGAGCAGTGCAGATGCAGGGCGACTTACAAGCTGTTGCGTGGGGGTGAAAAAACTGTTGTCTGCAGCGTGTGAGCAGTGCAGATGCAGGGCAACTTACAAGCTGTTGCATGGGGGTGAAAAAGCTGTTGTCAGCAGCGTGTGAGCAGTGCAGATGCAGGGCAACTTACAACCTGTTGCGCGAGGGTAACAAAGCCGTTGTCAGCAGCATGTGAGCAGTGCAGATGCAGGGCGACTTACCCGCTGTTGTGTGGGGGGGAAAAAGCTGTGGTAAGCAGCATGTGAGCAGTGCAGATGCAGGGCGACTTACCCGCTGTTGCATGGGGGTGAAAAAGCTGTTGTCAGCAGCGTGTGAGCAGTGGAGATGCAGGGCGACTTACCCGCTGTTGCGTGGGAGTGAAAAAGCAGTTGTCAGCAGCGTGTGAGCGGTGGAGATGCAGGGCGAGTTACCTCCTGTTGTGCAAGGGTGAAAAAGCTGTTGTCAGCAGTGTGTGAGCAGTGGAGATGCAGGGCGACTTACCCGCTGTGGCATGGGGGTGAAAAAGCTGTTGTCAGCAGCATGTGAGCAGTGCAGATGCAGGGTGACTTACAACCTGTTGTGCGAGGGTGAAAAAGCCGTTGTCAGCGACATGTGAGCAGTGGAGATGCAAGCTGACTTACAATCTGTTGCGTGAGCCATTGTCAGCAGTGCATGTGCAGTGGAGATGCAGGGCGACTTACCTCCTGTTGTGCAAGGGTGAAAAAGCTGTTGTCAGCAGCATGTGAGCGCTGGAGATGCAGGGCAACTTACAAGCTGTTGCGTGGGGGTGAAAAAGCCATTGTCAGCAGCATGTGAGCAGTGCAGATGCAGGGCGACTTACAACCTGTTGTGCGAGGGTGAAAAAGCCATTGTCAGCAGCGTGTGAGCAGTGGAGATGCAAGCTGACTTACAATCTGTTGCGTGAGCCATCGTAAGCAGTGCATGTGCAGTGGAGATGCAGTTTAGCTACCTCCTTTAAAGCCCCTTGCGTTAGAAGGTCTACAGCCTCGTTATTGTTCAGCGCCTTAGCAACATCGAGCGCTGTTCTATAAATCGCCCCTAATCATCATGTCAGTGTGTCCATTCCTAGACAATGCCTGTGAACTCACATTCACTGTTGAGATCCCTGTCTCCCAGA